GAGAGTGATCACGGAACAGTGCCGCAACGCAAGGTAGGGTATGGAACAGCAATGTACCGAAACCAGTCTCTCTATCTAAACCCTCTGAGCACTCCTTTATACTCGTCTTCCTTTAGCCGCTCTCGGTGGGTGGTATTCCTGTCTCACATGGCTAGTATTCCTGCCTCTCGGATGGCTGGTATACCTCTTAGACGGGCTTGATATACTCTGGAGCGGTTGGTTGCGTCATAGTCGTTGTGATAGTCAGTCTGAGTGTTACATTACGCACATCCTCCAATCCCATCCGGGAGACTCCTTGACACTGAGTTAGAAGCGGTGGAGTCTATATAAGGCCGAATATAAAGGTGGAAAGTGCAGCCCTTATAGGATATAGCGTCGAAGGGTAGCATCTTAGCACTTCTTTATCTTTAAGGTACACCTATCTCGGCTATAAACTTCGTCGGCATCTCTATAGCCCCCCCTCTAGTAACTGTTGGCTTCAACACGAGTGAGTAGCAGTTTCGTCCGCCGTAAGCTCCTGCTCGCTCAGCTGGCCCATGCCTTTGGTGGAAATAATGGGACTCTAGGAGATTGTCGTGGGAGGGCTGTAATGATAGTAATATTAGGACCGCCGTTTAAGAAGAGTCGCATTCTAGAGGAGGGGAAAAGCCCACAGTCCGAGACGGCAGGGTCTTTGTCCTTTATTAGCAGGAGGGCTCGTCCGAACAAGGAGACAGGAAAGTGGTCAAAACTAGAAAATGTGTCAAAGAGGGAACCGATTGGCACGCCGCTCATTTTGGGTCCTCGCTGGCGCAGCACGCGGTGGAGCAGGTCAAGATGAATGGTGAGTGTGAAGGACGGCGAGGTGAGTGGCTCGGTGGCTATAAAACGGCACGGCTGGGGTGAGTCGCACGTGAGCTCCAGCAGTTTTTACTCTTCTTTAGGCGCCAAGGCCGGAAACTTGGGGAGATTCCGCCGCCCTCAAACATGCCGACTGAAGGCTCTCGAATGATGCCCGACGCTGCAACAATCTCTGTCTCCCTAGAACCACAACGAACAAAGATATTCCCTGTAATTTCTCTTCATGCGTTGATGTCGGCACCCATTCCTTACTGTGAATTTCCCAACAAGGCTCGGTTTCATCATGAACTAACTCCGGAAGCACGTGCTTCCACTTTCGTTACGCCCAAATGCGGTGACTATCTTCCGTGCCCAGTGTTCCTGAAGTCATAGCGCGGTGGGTGAGGAACACTGGTATTACCTGATGGATGAACAGGTCTGTTACCTTTCAGGTCGGTCAAGCCTTGTTGCTAACCTATCCTCTCAGATAATTTCGGCGATTCAAATCGCCTACGACCCCTCCGCAGACCAAGCCCTTAAACGACAAGCCTTTGATTATGTCAATCAATTGAGGCAAGAGCCTTCAGCATGGCAGCCATGTCTGTCCATCTCACTGCAAGTCCCTCGTCAGCCCATGGTCATCCGAGTTTACTGCCTCGAGATCGTCAATAATGCAGTCCAAGGTGGCCTGGTGGATCAACAAGGCTTGAAAACCATCAAAAATCAGCTCATGACATATCTGCAAAAGTTCTACGGGGCAGCAGGCCAGACAGACATGCCAGACCCTGGGACAATCGTCAACAAGTTTGCTCAGACAGTGACATTCCTATTCTCAGTCTTTTATGGCTCCGGCTGGGAAACTTGCTTTGATGATTTATTGGCTCTTACCACAACAGGAACTGGCTCAAAGGACAACTACCCGGGGCTGGTCTTCTATCTAACAGTCCTCAATGCTATTCACGATGAAATTGGAGATCAGTTGCTTTCCAGGTCTCGTGCTGAGCAGGACAGGGCAAATACCTTGAAAGATTTGATTCGAGCCCGAGATGTTCAAAAAATCGCCCGGTCATGGGAGGAGGTCTTGTCCCATTGGGGGACTACGAATGATGTCGTGGCCGAGCTGTGTCTGAAAGCCATTGGGAAATGGGTTAGCTGGATCGATATATCGTTCGTGGTGAATCAGCCGATGCTCGAGCTACTATTTCAGCAGCTGGAACGGGCCCAAAAAGTCGATCCTCGCAAAAGTGAGGAGCAAGCAAGAGACGCGGCCATTGATGTCTTCACGGAGACGGTCGCAAAGAAGATGCCATCCGCGGACAAAGTGAACATGATCACCTTTCTAAATCTCGAAACAGTGGTCTCACGACTTGTGACTTGCCCGCCTCTGAGCGACAGCAGAGCCTCTAATTATGATGTCGATCTTGCTGAAACAGTCGCAAAATTGGTCAACACCACAACCATGGACATCGTCAAAGTGCTGGAAACAGAGAATCAAGGCTCGGAAACCTGGGCTAAGGCCGAACAGCTCCTGGCCTCGTTTCTACCACATCTGCTTAGATTCTTCTCCGACATATTCGACGAAGTTTGTTCGACAGTGCTCAATGCTATGAACGATGTTCTCACATTCCTGAGACGTGCTAGCCAGGGAGAGACCGCCTCTGCCCAAAGAGCAACAATGCTGCTGCCCATTCTCAAGGCAATATTCGTCAAGATGAGGTATGATGACACTGCCGACTGGGGCCAGGAAGACGAGCAGACAGATGAAGCAGAGTTCCAGGAGTTGAGAAAAAGACTAGCAGCCTTGCAGTCAGCAATTGCTGCCGCGGATGAGCAGCTCTACATTGATGCAATTTCGGCACTGGTTCATGACACATTTCAGCGGCTACGATCAGAAGGATCGCGGCTCAACTGGCGAGATCTAGATCTTGCCTTGCATGAAGTCTATCTGATGGGGGATTTGGCTGTGAGGGGAGGGGGCTTGTACCAGAAGAACAAGCCAAACTCGCCGGCCGCAGAAAAACTGGTCCGGATGATGCTGGAAATGGTGCAGTCAAGTAAGTGAAAGTGCCCCGATCTTTACCAAGTTCTGCTGACAATTGGTAGACACAGGCTCCTTTGCACACCCTGCCATACAGCTGCAGTATATGGAAATAAGCGTCAGATACAACTCTTTCTTCGAGAAGCATTCTGAATACATTCAGCCGGTCTTGCGAAACTTCCTCGAGCTCGCCCACCATCCAAGCCTGAAAGTCAAGGCGCGAGCATGGTATCTACTTCAGCGCCTTGTCCGTCAACTTCGCGCTTTTGTGGGAAACGCGGCCGAAGCGGTCGTGCAGAGGCTCCAGGATCTCCTGGCCATACGAGCGGAATTGCCGACCGAAGAAGACAATGATATGTCTTCCAACGATGATTCAGCCGTTGACTCTACCTTTACCAGCCAGCTGTATCTCTTTGAGGCGGTTGGTTGCATCTGTGGTGCAACCACAGTCCCTCCAGACAAGCAAGTACAATATCTATCTGCCGTCATGCAGCCGCTCTTCGCCGATATCGAGCGTAACCTGGAACCGGCTAGATCGGGCAATGAGCTTGCCAGTCTTCAAGTCCATCATGGTATTATGGCGTTGGGTACAATTGCTCGAGGCTTCTCTGACTTCAATCCCGGAGTTACGACTCAAGGGAGCGGAGTGGAGCCGTCACCACAGGCGAAACAGGCATTTGCACAAGTTGCCGAGGTGACTCTTGTCTCTCTAACAGCCCTTAACTCGTCCTTCCAGATCAGAACTGCTGCAAGGTTCGCGTTTTCACGGCTGATCGGGATGGTCGGTACCCAAATGATGCAACAATTGCCCCAATGGGTCGACGGTTTATTGACAGACTCTTCTACCAGAGATGAAATGGCACTCTTCCTCCGACTGCTGGACCAGGTCATTTTTGGCTTCAAGAACGACATACGAGACTTTCTCGACCGGCTGTTCTCAGGACTTCTTCAAAGAGTCTTTACTGGCATATCCGCAGCCACTTCAGGCACGGACGATGAAATAGAGTTGGCAGAGCTGAAGAGAGAGTATCTTAACTTTCTAATGGTCATCCTCGGGAATGACCTCAGCACGATTTTGGTCAGCGCTAGAAACCAACCGATCTTTGAATCAGTGATCAGCTCCATCGAGCATCTCGCACGAGATGTAGAAGACTTTCCAACTGCGAAGATGGCATTTATACTGCTTTCTAGGATGTGCACTGTTTGGGGAGGGCCTGATGTGGTTTCTGCAACTGGCCGGGTGAACGGCGACATCCCTGGCCCGCAGCCCGCTCTTCCGGGCTTTGATCAATTCATGATCACCCGGTTCTCGCCATTGTGCTGGGCTCTGCCAACTAATCCTTTGTTTAATAGCAAGGATGCACAGGCGCGACAAGCTCTTTCCGAGGCTGCCGGTCTTCAAAAGACCATCTACACAAAAACAGGTCAGCAATACCTTACTTGGTTGCAAGAAAAGGAGTTGAGAACAATGGGCATGAATGATACCCTGATCAACGAATATTTGCAGAAATTGGCTACCATGGAACCAAAGGCGTTCAAAATCTTTTTTGCGAAGTTTATCGCACAAGGTGGCCAGATGTGAAGAGCATTTGAAAAGCCTGATTACCCTGAGAATGAGAACGACGCTGCATATGATACCAAAGGATTTTGTTACTCAAGATACGTATGGACCCGGATGAACGATGGTCGCTGGTCCTAGACAGAAAAACTCAGTTACAGTAGAACAGTCAAGTGTGTCCTATTCCAAGATGCTGCTCTCGGCCGGTTTGCGCCGGGGATGATGGTTTGCAATGTCACGGCTCATATCGATACATCTGAAAGTCACCCAACACTTGAAGTTGTGTCGAAGTCATCAATAGCGATTAGTATCTCTCCTTCAATTCAAATAAAAAGGGTCTTAGGTTCACCGTCAGCTAAAGAGCTTCGAAGACTTGGAAGACAGCCAGACGGTTCCTTTTTGGCTGGATAAGGCTCGAACAAGATTTCACAGCCTTGCGAAGAATAGTTGCCAAGCCATCGGCTGACCTTCCTAATCGTCTTCCCACATTCAACATTTTGGCCGAACTTTTGGACCACCGAGTTCGATCGATCCGTCAATCCAGCCTCAAACACTTCCGATCAATCTGTCGTTGAGAGTTTCAAGATGGCCAGTAAGTTTTAACGCCTGCGCATAACTGTGGGAAATCGAGGTGCCGGACTAACCGCGCCTAGAATCCAAGAACTCGTCTCAACACAATCAAGCCAAAAAGGCTCACAAGAACGGGTATGAATTTTGTTCTCCGCAAGCGCAGCCGACGCCTTACTTGAGATCGCTTGCTCACAGAGTGGAATCGGTTTGGCTGACACGGCTGCTTAAAATAACAGGATCAAGAAGCCCAAGACCTTCAGATATCCATCCCTCAAAGGCACGGATCCCAAGTTTCGAAGAAATCACAAACACGCCCTGCACGGAACAATGAAGGCACTCAAGGAGGTGCGGGAAGGGAAGAGAGACGCTGCATAAATTCGAAAACGGAGAATAAAATTCTGAACAAAGCATGAACTGTGGTATGCGATGTGGACGGCAAACCGAAACGACATTTTCTGCGGCGTCTGGGAAGAGGGTCTCTATTGGCGATGCAAAGATCCAAGGTGGCAGGAGTCCTCCAGTTTCGATGACCGAAGCTGTTTTCGAACAGGAACCGGCATGCTTTCGGACGATCCGATCACTGAGTTGAGTTGAAGATGGACAATCCGAAGAAAGACTGAACCACAAATACCCTGTTCGCAAAGCTGCTTCACCAATTTCCCTTTTCCCAAGTTGAACACGATTTTATGACACTTCACAGAATCTCTGGTCAATGGCATTTGTGTGTACAGCGTCGTGTCTATCTCTTCCATGCGCGATGTCTGAAGGAGAAAAATCTTTCGTGCCTACATGGAGCGTTGACCTTCCAATTACCAAACACGGCCCTCCCACTGTCGATGGAGGGTTGTGCATGGACGGGAGGTGACAATTAACTATACCTTGGTTTATGTTTTCGTCGGGGCTGAGGAGGAAGTCAGCTGGGAGACCTGTCCGTGACACCTCGGCCTCACCCAATTGGCCATGAATGGACGGATTCCGAGACCATCCCAGGTCCATATTCAATGCCGGATCAACACAGCCCTTTCATCGTCAAGGCTCATTGAACACGACTGCACACTCAACGATTTGTACGTATCATGCGTTGCAGGAACGAGCCAGTCATGACAAGACGTCAGCTCTAAATAGGTAGGTGATGATACACGTCTTTGTGCCTATGTTTTTGGTCATGGCAATGGCTATGTACCTCCCGTTGGTGGTGATATCTACGTCGCAAGTCTAGCTTAGCCCGGAAAGGAAAGCACATACAGCCCTTTTATGAATCCTTCCACACAATCCTGTGCCTGTGGCAGGATGTGATATTGCTTCTTATTCGTCACATTGCGGACGGCGCGCTTCGGATCCGTGGCCTCTTGAAGGCTTCTACCGAGTACTAGGGGGTTGAGGAATTGATGCCCTGCCTTTGTTAGACGGCCCAGAGTCGGAGTCTTGATATGCCAGCATTCGAAGTACTAGCTTCTGGCCTTTTGCTTTTAAAGGAAGTGAAGTCCGAGAGGAGCAGCAGGCGCGACACTCATGAGATTGGATTTGCTGGCAGTTCCTGCTGCTCCTGTGAAGAAAACCACAGCAGTTGGGATGCGATCGTGAGTTGTTTTTTTGGCCAAGCAGCCGTATTCGTTTAATCGTTACTTAGTCCATTCCTAGTCTTTCAGGGATTAGGGATATCGTCTTGTATGAGGTACCGGTACATTCCATGTCGATTCTCAGCCATGCCTGTCAAAGCGTGCCACTTTGTGCTTGCAGACTGACCACTCCATGCACGACGACAATGTCATATTACGCAGGGACGACTCCGCTTGATCCGTGCACGTCTTCCTCAGGCATTTGGTCGTGTCATGGAGAACCCACAGCATAGCAGAGTAGTCGACTTTGGCCTGGCCAGAATCTGAAACATCCCGTCTCGATAGAGCGCAAAGCAGAGCCAGGCATCACCTCAGCAAAACGGACCAGTGGAACAGTTCTCAAAAAGCCATTTCACTGGGCATCATGCAACGGAGGCATGGTTCCTGCATCCGCGTTGAAGAATTGCAGTTCCGGAGAACGAGGTGCGAGTAAGCGCTACTGCGCTAGGGAATCCTTCCTAATATGGTATAGTGAGATAATGACCCTCCGGGACCACACACCGAGGTAGCTTTTGTGCGCTTGGTGGCTCTCGTTGTATCCTCCAGTGTTTCTTCGACGTTGTTTCTGCCCGTTTTCGTGTGGCCCCTGGACTCTGCCATAGCGAGATGAATGCATGGCGGTCCAGGCATTTGTAAGTAACAGCCACGTCGTGTGCGCCTTCGAATACTTCAGTCTGTTACGACAAGGTACTCCCCACGCAGTATGAGCCGAGTGAATCTTGTCGAGCAACTACCGGTATATTCGAATGGGAGTTAGAGGCGCAAAATGGTGGCGGCCATGAAAAGACATTGTGACTAACACTTACCTCGTAGGTACGAGGTACCTCGTCCAGAACTCACAATCATAGACCCCTCTTTGGTTTAGTGGGTCCCCATTCGCTCATGAGAGTTTCATGGCAGCCTTCAAGTAGCGATGGAATCACAGTTCCTTCTGTTTCTGAGGACCAACTTTCCACAGTCTCCTGTACCCGGTACAGTAGGCCTACGGTAGTTCCACACCTGATTCGTGCCGGCCGGGACCGTTTCCTAGGCTCAGGCCCATGTGGCATTTTTCAACATCCGGCATGGGGATTCCCTCCTTTTTCCGCAGCACCACCGCGCGTTCGTACCTACAAGTAGATAAAGCTTGATGCAGCGCGAGCTTCCCCTGACGAACTTGCATGATCCAGCATTCCTTTGGACCGACTTTGTGGGGACGTGGACCTCGGATGTCGAAGGACAATTATGGAAAGGTCTACATGCGCAGAAACCCCTCCACGGGTGGTTGCTGAGGGTGTTATAGTACGGTGGAGGCTTTCGCGTTTCAAGAACGAAGGTCAAGCATACTTTAGAATCCCTGTAAGAAGGATCCAGCACGGATGGGTTGGTGAGTGGGCAGGTATGGAGCAATGATTCTCGTCGACCAACAGAATGGACCGCCCCGGAGCGGATTCCTCCGGTTCCAGACAGCTGGAGCAGTGAGAGCCCTAACATGAAGCGGAATGGATATTCGGGATCACCACTCGCAGAGACAGGGAGGGAAAATAGCACCACAATGTCCACGCGAAACAAAAGCGTTGACATTTTTTTGCGGAACCATGAACGCGACCAAGATTACTGGGTCTCCTACATGAGACGTCAGCATTTCGAAAATCTCATAGCACAAACGCGAGGGCGAGTACATTGACCCTCAATGCGACGCTGCTGTTCTACCATTGTGGTCCTGATGCGGAACAGTGTTTCGGGGCTCCGCGACAACTTGCCTTCATCATAGAGGCGAGTGCAGCAATATCGATCTGTGTCAGCCGCAAGAATTCCTTCGGCGGGGTGCCCTCGCCAGTGTTTTATGGCTGCGTTTTGTGGGTGATGTTTCGTATAGTGGAATCTGCCATCCTCGGGTTTTGAAACATGCTATGGAGGGGACCATCGTGGGTCGCCAGCGTTGTTACCCGGTGAGCGACCCTTTATCGCTCTAGGGGACTGAACCTTTTGGATATTGCAATCGGCCCTGTACAATCGGCCCTGTACAATCGTTCCCGAAACCACCCTCCCCCTTCAAGACACATTGCGACTTTCTTCGGTGAAAGGTTAGAACATGTGGGGCTGTTCTAGTCAGATATGTTTTAGTCCTCTCTAATATTTCACCCAATGATCAGTGGCGCTATCGGCCCCAATTTTTACCCCGTTGGTAAGGCAGGTTGTAAAGACTTGATGCAATACGGTCAGTTGCAAAACTTGCCTTACGGTGAAACACTCTTTTCAATTCTCCGCCCCGCAGCTGACCATCCACATTAACTAGGATCCTTACCTAACATAGTTAAGCCTCAGGTACAAAAGTCACCAATCATATTGCGCCTAATCTTAGCAGTCCTATATCGAATCCGGCTCATTACACGTATTGTTACATATCCCGTGACCAGCCTTCCGGATTAAGGAGACACTAATAGCGGCAGTAAAATCTAACCCTTTTAAACCGGGTTCTACCATAAGTAGTTTTCTGACACATGACCCTCATTCGCTTCTGCGGCCATCGGCACGCGCCGAGACGCGCTTTGGCCCTGGAAGCCCCCACACATTTTGGTGGTGGCCGCTTTCACGTTCAGTGATGACAAGCCTCTGCTGTCTTTACCGATGGCGAAGATTCTTGTTGAATACCACCCCTTGCGTCGGTCTCGGCCCTTAGGGCGCAGCAAGAAATAGGACACTATGGTAAGAGAAGGAGCTACGCGATACTGGAGTGATACTGGAGTGATACGGAAAGGCGGCACGTACAAACATTTGCAAGAGGTTGCCGCTGCCGAAGCGACGAAAAGTTTCTTCACGTGTACAACTTGTGCGAGGACATCACCTAGCAACTTCCGCCATTCCATCATTTGCTAGCGATCCTTCCTTAATCATGCCTTGAATAATCACATGCTGCGAAACTGCGGGATTGGGTGCTACAGCTCGGCACATTTGGTCAATGGGTTGCGACACTGTTGCTGTTCGGTGCGTGGACTCCTCACAGATAGTACGACCCCCTTCGGAAAGTCGGAGAATTATTTCAAATATACCGCCACCTGCAGTCACAATATTTCATCTCTTCTCGATTCTGTGGCAATTTCAACTCTGTGGGCTGGGTGTCAATATAGCCGCATTTCTCTTCGGGAAATGAGAAGACTCAACCTACTCTGAGCTTTTCGTTTGCTGGGCGCACACGTAGCCCATCCAGCCTCCCGACGTTGGCATTAGCAAAGCGCTTCGCCAAAAAAGGAGGTATCTGGGGAAATCGGTCGACTACTTTCCGCAAGAAGATCTGGGCGTCCAGTGGCATGTCCTGGTATTCCTTCACTGTATCTTTCAGTGGTTGTGACTCGGGGACTTTGCTGACGAAATGCACTCGCTTCAGTACTTCAATGTCCTTCCGTTCTTGGCGGGTCTGCTGGGCCACGGCTTCCAAAGCATCAGAGATGGATGACTGAGGCTGAGGTTCGTGAGCAGGCATAACGCTGAAATTAAGCCAGGCATCCATCGTTCCACTGCTGGTGATCTGGTGAATGGGGGATCGCCGAGAGTGCTTCACAGACTTGATAAATGAGCCGTCGATGTGTTGAGCCGATGCTGTCTCCAGTGCCGCCAGGTTGTCTGCCGATAGCTCCTGAGCTTCCGAAGGCATTGCAGTCTGGCCGGGATTTCAGGTACATCCTGGTCATCATCAGATTGAATCTCGATGACGTCTACAGGTCTTGGCCTTCGCCCAAAATTGTCCAAGTCCTCATATTGCTGGACAAGTCGGAGCTTGTCATCTTCCGCGGCCAGGCCCAAGTTTTTGACGTCAGGATTGAATCTAAAAGATAGTTCACATTTTGGGCAGGTAACGAATGTCTGTCTCAGTCTCTGTTATGTCCGAGAATTTGTAGCCGCAGCTGGGCCTGGGACATTGCCGAACGGGCAATTTGAGCATCGTGAGAACAATTGTCATTGCGAATGCTGCTCCCGGAAAAATGTTGGAAGTCCAACCGGACTTGGCGAGGGCCTTGCCGTCGGAGCTAGTTGGAGATATGACGAAGTTACCATGTTTCACTTGAATAGACCCAGGAAGGCCCCACCTCTGAGAACGCGTGTTTAACAAAGCCGTCAAAAAGCTGTGAACATTAGCAGGGTGCTGTGGATCAGAGTGCAAGCATATGTACCTCTCACTGTTTGAAATAAGTATAAGGTAGTGAAAACTTGCGCCCCAGAGGATCGTAGAGTGTTATGGTGTCGGTGGCGTTTGAAGGACCTTGATTGATACTTTGACTTAAATCAGTCAGCATTCTAGTATTCCTAGTAACGTGTCTCGCAAGAGATTCCACCTCTCGTCTGTGCCTATCGCCGTCATTCGCCATTGAGGACTAGTTCAGACTTAGAGTTCGGAAACACAGGATTTATGACTTTGCCGTACAATCATAGTGCTGATATCTTTGACCGCATGGCTGTAACTCTGCATGACATTGGACAATTGTTCGTGTTCTGCACGTCGTCTAGCCTCTCGTCTACTAGAAATTTCTCTTTAAAGGAATTAGGAAAGTGAAGATTCCCGCATTTGTATTTCCGTACCGTCCGAGCATTTGCAATTGGGTAATGATGCTGAGCAACTGGCCAGCAACATACAGCTGGAGCTTGTCAACCTCTTCATCCATGCTCAGAGTCCATTGCATGGCCTTGATGATTCTTTTAGCTCTGTGAGTTCGGCCAGTCGGAAACAAACAAGCCTCATACTTTTGCAACCTTTGCAAGAAGTCTCGTAGTGTGAGCCAGGTTGCAAACGCCGCGGCTCGGAGGCTGTTGATGCGAGTAGTATCGTCATCAATGTCATTTGCTGCCAGTCTCTCGATATCGCGAAGGACTCTTCCAAGACTCCCTATCTCGATGATTGTCCGCTGATAGTGAGCAGCAGCACCAGTGGTTGACTTAAGCGCCCCGAGCAGCTTTTGAATGAGCTCTGGTGCGTATAGTTAGAACCATAGCGCGAGACTGTTACTAGCAGACGCATACCAATGGTGGCGATGACATCGCCAACCGAGACGCCAAAAGCCGGCATTTATGGGAGCTTCGAGGTAGAAGTTGATATTAGGCCCCTTGATCTCGCATATGAGCAAACACCATTGTTGAGCTGTTTTGTTGCTGCCTGTTGGAGGGTCACGTGGTTGTGCTTGGCACGGCTGTCAGCTATGTAAATACTGTTTGTCACCCCTCATAGATAGATCCAACTGACCAAATCTTGTCAATCACACCAGCTCAGATGGTTCATCACTGCTAATGCGAAGGGTTTCATACATCCCGTCATATTTGGTAGCAGGGTTCAGGGGGGAGAACAGCGTTGATTCCCGAATAGGCAATCTCGCAGCCAATTCCCCGGCATTATGTTAATCCAAGCCGGTGTCTCAACCTCGTACTCTGTATAGGGAAAGATGCCCCTATAGCATGAGCCTTCAGCAATGCAAGACCGACCACTCTATGCCTCCAGATTAAACCCATATGCACTATTGACACGCATAGTAGAATCTAATGTTGGTATCGAGTCTCCACGAAACTCGAGAACCAGCACAACGGAGGGTAATCGTTTGAAGTTGTCGGCCAGTCTGTCAAGCCTTGAAGCGGAAAGGTTGGCCGCGCAGACCGTGGCTAGGCTTGGCGTAAAGTCGCTGCCATGTAAGTGCTGCTGTACGCGAGAGTAGCACACGATGCCTACAGTTTTCCGTGTTGTTGGGATAGACTCGCGCCTCGATGAAACCACCTGCTAAGCACTGAGCATCCTCCCTTTATGTCCTCCCCGATGACCTTAGCCTAGCCGTCACGAAATGCACCACGCGGGCAAACCTGAAAGACGGTGATGTATACGATCCCGATTGTTATGCCCCTCTTGCATCGTCAGGTAAACTCCGCGCAGCCTGTCCTCTACCTCTCTACCTTTAATGTCCAGCCGGAAGGGAAACATCCATCTGAAACCTCTCCTTGCCACATCATTACTTGAACCAATCAAAAATGTGTGTCCGAACCAAAACATCCTATGGTTGCGGATGTGAATACAAAACAACCACCCTTTGCTACTCCTCTCAGTGCCAAGGGCTTGAGAGATACCACTACCCAAGAGAAGTTGACTGTGAAACCTGCCGCCTGGGACGTCCTTCAATATTCTCCGAGCGACGCCCCACGTATTTGGATGAAAACGGCGATGAGAATGACTGTACCTCTCATCAGCGGGAGAGTCATTATGCCGAACACAGGAACGTTGCAGCAATTCCGACGAGTCCCACCAAACTAGAACGTTACGATTCGGCATCATATTGGGGCGATACTCGTAGGAGGAGGAGGAGCGGCTCTGTCCAGTCCAAGTCATCGAGTCGCAATAGTTCTCTCGGTGGCGGTCGGCGCTTTGAGCGCGACTATCAGAAGCCCGAGTTTGCTAGAGGACGAACAGGCTTTGGCTCTGATGTAAGTCCTCATTCCGTGACAATTTCCCTCTTTTTATAGTAGCGGTCTCCCGTGGATGTGCCATTTCTCTCTTCGATTTGGCATGCGAACCTTCTGCCTCCTGGTGGCGGCTCCTCGGCTCGCCGCGGTTGAATTAAAGTCGGTTGCGGTGCACTGATGATTTCCTGACATAGTACGAGATAAGACCTTCTTCGCCGGGTCTTCCACCTCCTCCGCGATTACCAGCTAGAGATCCAATCGTCGATCCCTCGGATTCTTCACCCAGCGAGAGCGAGCACGGTCGTAAGAGCAGGACTCCAGGTGGAGCAAAGCAAGGAGCCGCATTTAGACTAAAGCCGCGAGGTGGTAAGCAAATCATGCCCGCAGGTTTGAAGCCGAAAGGATCGAACCAAGATATTCTCAAATCCCAAACTCCGGCAATTCCCACGTCAGCCGATAACTTTTGGGGGCAACTGAACCAAGCCACAGAGGGGGCTCAGTTTCGAGATTGTTATATATGTGGCGATGTAGTCATGGTTGACCGGAAGCGCAGCTGGCAGTAAGTGTATTTATTCTTACCCTATCACTGCTAACAGGAAGGCAGGACGCGGGTCTTTCAAGACCTTTGCCCCTACCAATGCCTCGAAAGGCATGTTCAACTGCAGAGTCAACCTACTCTGGTCTCCAAGAGCTGAGACAACATTATCACCAGGAGCACGGTGCGGCCGATATTCTACATGTCATGTTCCTGCCATGCCCATTGTGCAGCCAAAAGCTGGACTCTGAGCTACGAGCACGCTTCAAGCACATTGGCCGCCACATGGAGGACATTGCCTTTGCCGTTGTTCCGCACCAATACGTTGACTGGGAATTCTACAGTGAGTCTGCAACCTCCTCGGACGATCAACACGAGCGTGCAGATGCAGATTCAACACTCCAATGTTCGAAGCGAAGTCTCTCATGATAGTTGGACCTCTGTAGAATCACTTTGTGGTAGGTGTTTTTGCCCATGTCGTTCATGTTGGACACGTCTGTCTGCCATAAATGACCGTTATACTTCTCAAGAGGACACAGCCGTCGTCGGATGTCTTAGATTGATCTTGGAAGGAACTGAAGACCATCTGCCGATCCTTTTCACTAGGGTTCTTCGCTGGAACTTGGAGGAAACCTCCTGCTGATGGCAGAAACGAGAAAGGAGTGTGAGTTGATGGTCACGAACATGGCATGCTCCTGTACAACAGTACAGCTACGTGGCAACGGAGCAACCTTTTCGCATATCATTTATCAGCCTTTAAATGAAGTATAGCCTCCCCTTAGCAGATATCCACCCGTACATCTATCATATCTCGTTGGATAAATAAACCTCCCTTTCCTTGTTGGCTATTCTAAGCCGAAGACACTCAGATATACCGAACTCACCTAAGACTGAACTAAGTCAATACCAGATGCAGGCTTTCTGGAGGGCTCGAAATGAATGCAATAAGTGCTATTGACTATCTACAGACGCAGGGCGACATCGACTTCCGACGCTAAGGGAAGTCGAAGGGTATATTCCTGCGAGATGTATGCTGTGTCCATGAGAACTTGGGATGAGCCTGGGCCCCACAAGACATTTTGCTGCCGCTCTTATGGGTGACATTTGGGTGCAGAGTCTGTCACGGGACGGGTAATGATGGGTGTAACACGGTGTACGAGCAATACTGCATTATTAATACTGAACAGTTCTATTGGCGGGCGTCGAGATTAGAACTTTTTCTTCGTTAGGTAAAGAGTCTTCATGATGTGGGTCGCTAATTGCGAGTTCGGAGAATCGAACAAGAGTGTCAAACAATATGGGAGGTTTTGCAACGGGCCTGTACCCAGTATTACCGGAGGGCATTTTCAGTACTGGGTATCCGAGTGGTATTAAAACGGATCCACTGCTTAGTCATATGTAGATTAGAAAATAGACTATTACAAATGAAGTATAGCGTAGTCCACTTGTATTTTCAACTTTTTGCGAGAGAAGTTGCAACGTGTCCATAAAGGGAAGGGCGGTTTCGGGAGCGACTGTATCTCTCTCCGTCAACTTTACAATGGTGGGACCTTTAGAGCACAGGATTGTTCTCCTGGGTATTTGGCATGTCGCGGCACAGTACCACGTCTGCATGAAGTTCAATGAAGGATTTGCCTAGCCCTTGGACATTCCCTTGTGAACCCCGCAGCAATCGAATACCTCTTTTCTGATATCGTATCCGATGTGGCAACGAGGTTCTCAGACACCACGCAGTTTGAACCTTGCGGATCCAGTACCTCGTGCTGACAGGAGCACCAGGTCGATTTCCAGCTCTAGGACTTGTTGGTGGGAACACCCATCCAAGAGATTGAAGGGCCTCATTGAGCTCGTTAGGTTTGCTCCGTCCCCCACGCCTGTATGGACAATGTCAAACCCCGAGACAAAGTTGAACAAACGGCAATTCACTGGTAATTGTCCATTGGGAGTGGTTCTGGTGAGGAGAACAAGGTGGTGGTTCTTCATTCGAAGCAAAGTGTTCCCGCGACGCTCGAGCCAGCTTCCTTGGGACGAAAACCTTGCTGATTTTCTCCATAATTTCGCACGTGGCATGGCGCATCGTGTCGGATCCTTGGGCTTACGGATATGGAAAACTCTCATTCACAGGGCAACCCATGGCGATGTTTTTGCTTGTCTAGCAAACCTCGATCGAGGCCGACTTTGAGTTTGGGTCGAGGCAAACAAGCCGGTCTTGTGCATGACGTGGAGGCAAACTTGTTTGCTCCGAGCAGGACGGTTCCGCCGAGTCCGCACGGAGGATTTTGATCATCTGCAGCAAGTCATGCGCTGGAAGGAGGCCAAGAACGATGTGAGTATCTCGATTTCCCAAAGGTTAGCAGTCTCCCTCGTGGCACGTCTGGCTCTCGAAATGTCCAGTCGGCGTGTGGATGGCGTGACCCATGCTTAAATTGGCCAACCTCAGCCTCGTCAGCCTCCAATTTGCACCGCGGATACGCTATCGAAAGTTTGTGCACGCACCACCAACTTTGTGCCAGCCCATGGTGTTCAGAGTTGCAACCCCTTCATCACGCGAAAAGCACAGACAGATCAGTAAGCATGCTGGGCTGATGATGGCAGATGCACTCTGGCACGCAACGCGCCGTTAGATTTCCTAGGCTATGGAAGCCATGTGCCTGTGCATGCATGGGGCCTGGAGGCTTGCAGCATTCGCGCGCCATCTGATCTCGCTTGTCTCAGAACGTCTTACTTTCCATCGTTGCGAACACCGCTATGACGGCAATCATTATTACCATCATCATCGATTCATTATCATTCTAAAAGACGGAACCTGTGTTTCTACCATTTTCTTTCCTCCTGGCCGCCTCAAAACGTCAGATCCTTCAGGAGGGTTCCAGCCACCCACAACCATCGGAAATCAGCATTTATGTCAACGCAAGCACGTCTATCGATGATTGCGTTGTTGCGAACGCGTGAGCGAGCAAACAAGAAAGAAATCAAGCAAGTAAGCAAGAAACCCCTCCCCCGTAAGCTTCCCCCTGAATCCTAATAAGCGATGTCGCACTCGGACTCTTCGGGGAATTATATCCCATCTGCGTATGTACTCTGCATCGTTCTTGCCCTGCTCGTACGAAGCTGTGTCTCGCTCGCTGGCGTGGGCTCAGTCGGTTATCTTGATCACAAAAAGATTTGTTGGAGACACGCGAAGAATCACGTCCGCCCCAAGCAAGCACGAGTTGCTACATGGTATTACATCTCACATATTACATACAAGAAAGGGAAGGAAGGACCGCTCGTGCATACATATGCAGTTAGCGTCGAGATTATGCGAGCCAGAGTTCGTGCAACTGACTCCTCCGTGTGTGCCAGCACAACTCACCCAGTCAAGGGGCCTAGGACATGCCTGCCTTGACTTTCGCCGACCGACGGACAATTACACGCAGGACTCTGTTCGTCGCAAGGAGTACGGAGCATGGAGTACATACTCGTGTTACTATATCTATTTATGATGCCGAGGGAGGGAACAGAGTGGGCATGTACCAAGATACCGAGGACGGGGTCTGAATACTCCATGAACGTTCTGATGTAACGTCCCTACGACTACGGAGTCCTTAGATACCTGGGTAGGTATATACTTAAGTAGCAATACTACGGCATCGCACGACTCTCGTAGCTTTTTGAAGGCTCAAAAGCAAGATTACTACCGTAATTCACATGGGAAGGGGGTTCAAGCCGGGGCTTTTCATCGGTACTTGCTTAGCCAGATCCATGAAACCAACCCCCCTGAACCGCTCGGGAAATAACCCCAGCCAGGAAAAGACGGTCGCAACGCTGGAAAAAGTTTCACTGCCTTCATACCAGCGGGGACAGATATTGCAAACTGTACATACATCCCTAGCCATCGAGAGATAAGCTTCGTCTCAGCAGGGGCGAGCACGGAGATATCGTCGATATCGGATCTAGTCCCAGAGTTAGCGAGCCAGGGGGGTGCCAGCACCCTGCAACGAAAGTATGTACCGTGTTGAACTGGAGGACATTAGGAGTAGTACCTCGGCGCAACACTTAGGACCTGTAATTTCTCAATTGCCGTTCGGAACCGGGTGTCCATCCGAAGGGGAGGGTTAGGTAGCTAGCGACATATGTAGTCGCACCAGCGCGTCGTGGGCGTCGGACTACTGCATACGACGCGGATTGTGGTTGCGGAGTATGGGGGAATTCGGCGAGGGCCTTAGGACATATCTATTATGTACCTGTGTTGTAGTCGAGGCTGTAACACTAGGGAAACCAGAGTGTTGGACCTAAGACGTTGCATGTTGGCTGAAAGGATGAATACTTTCAATAGACTGCTTCTATCGATACATACATACAGACATCTTCTCTCACGTCAACAACCCCTGGACATTGCTTCTACTCATATCTTACATTCCCGGACGTCAGGCTGCCACTGGACACGATGCCTCAACCTCGCCTGGTCTCGGCGCTGATTTCCTCCCCTTCCATCCTGTTCTTCGTTCGAAAGGGAAATAAACAGGCAATTCTAGTAGGATCCAGCCCCTCTTGCCGTGGATTAAAAAGGCTGACAAGAGGGAACTTCTTTTCCTCTCTGTACAATATGGTGAAATCCGGCATCTTCCACTGGTGTCCCAATCCAAATCTTTGTCTCGTCGGTCCCGTCCCCGTCAACTTTGCTTTTCTCGCTGTGAAGCGTCCACTCCTCTGTATTGACCATGCCGAACAAGAGGAAAACAATATGTTGACTCGAAAGTGTAAATCTTGAATGTTGAACAACCATGACGGTAATTCAAGAAGAACGTCAATCCAACGGCGTCTTGCACATTCCGTTGTCTTACCACGCTTCGTTGCCCATTTGCACACCACAATGCTGAACACACTGTGTTTTCCTCATCTTCAAACATTCCCTTTGTTCGAACATGGAAGTCCGCATGAATTCATAATGCATTCAAAACACGGCAGAATTTCCGATCGCGCAAGATATGGTCAAACGGCCGATGCCGATCAGAACGAGATGGAAGCAAAATTTTCGCTTAGATCACAATCAATCCTCGGCGCCACACGCTGAAAAGTGCGGGAAGAGACATTGCTGGATAAATAGAGTTGGTGTCAATGATACGTTATACTTTTCATCCCGGACATATATTCATTTCAACAGCTTTTCCGGATAATTCCATTGGTTTGGCATGCGTCAATTTTGGATCCCAATCCTTGTGTTGATTCGAGGGCATGGGATGGGAATAGCTCGATATGGGGGTGACATAGGCTCGCCCCGAGCCATAGTGATCTTGCTTCGTGTCCGTGGGGGAGAATTGCGTCCGCATTCTTGGGCTTGTCAAAGCGCGATCTGGGGTTGTGATGTTCAGTTGAGGCGCCGCTCCGCTCAGCATTTCGTACGTACGAGGGTCGTTGGAGAACCGTCTGGCATCAGCCGAGACAAA